AAACTGAAAATTCCAAAAAAAATTCTATAAATAGAAGAGAAATGTGAGGAAAAGAGAGAGAGAGAAGAAAAAAAAATAGAGAGGAAGGAATTGAGAGAAATTTATTTTCTTCTTTTATGATAAGGAAATTTCTACTCGTGTCATTCTTTCTTCGTCTTTCTTTCGAAAAATCCAGCAAAATCACCCAAATCGCATGACTGAAAGGAAAGAGTGCTACATGAGTGCAAGGTGATATCCCTGGACCAGAGAGATAAACTCTTCCTGGTTAAATCAGAAAAATTATTTTCTTTCCCATCCACCTAAGCTTTAGTGATAGTTACCTGGTATCTGTATTGGAGGGACAGTGTGTGAGCACCTAATTTTTGAATATATTTGAATTTTTATTACCTTCTACTATGTAAATATTTTCAGAAACTTAATATATATTTTTTTAGCTTAGTTACATTTTTTTAGGGTAAAAATTAATAATAATTTAAAAGGTCAATTATTACTATTAGTATTATTTTTGTTTTTGTTTTTATTTTTATTTTTAAAAAAAATGAATTAAAAAAATGGAAAAAAAAATTAATTAATTATTTTTTTTTTTAAAATTTCGGATGTGAATTAAAAAATAGTAAAAGTAGAAATATAAAATTAAAAAGTAAAAGTAAAAGTAGGTGAAAATAGTTTAATAAAAAAAGTAAAAGAAAGTGAAAAATTAAAAAAATAAAAGTAAAAGAATGTGAAAATTTTATAAATGAAAAGTAAAAGAAAGTTGCAATTAAAAAGTAAAAGTAAGGGTAACTGAAAATATTTTTTTTTAAAAATAAAATTAAGTGGAAATTAAAAAAAAGAACAGTAAAATAAGTGGGAAATAAAAAAAAGAAAAGTATAAAAATGGGAATTTAAATATAATAAAAGTAAAAAAAAAGTAAGAAATTAAAAAATAAAAGTAAAGGAAAGTGGGGAATTATTTTTTTTTTAAAATAAGAAAAATGGGAAGTGGAAATTCTTTTTAATTAAAAAATAATAAATAAAAAAAACTGAAAATTCCAAAAAAAATTCTATAAATAGAAGAGAAATGTGAGGAAAAGAGAGAGAGAAGAAAAAAAAATAGAGAGGAAGGAATTGAGAGAAATTTATTTTCTTCTTTTACNATTGGTGTGATTATTGGATAGCATGAAGTAGTAGTTCACTCTATTGATATTTGGATCATTTGAATCTGATTGTTTCCTTGTTCATATGTTTATTGGACCATGATGTTAATTTTAGAGTTGCAAAGTTTTGTTTTGAGTTGATTTAACCGGATAAAGGGTCTATTGAATCACTGTAATTTGGCTTGTTTACTAATTTTGTTCATGAGATTGTGGTGTCATTAGTTTTGTTTAAGAAATGTACAGAATATGGGATATTGGGTTGGATAATTTGCTTGCGCCACGATTTATTTCTAAGAAAATTGGTTTTTGGGTTGCTGGAGAAGAAAAGATTTTGGGCCAAAAGATTTAGTCTCATCAGGCCCAAAGTAATAAATAACATAGATGGCTCATCTTTCTCTAAACTAGCCCATTTTTCTATAAATAATAAATCCAATTCTTCCACAAATAATTACATACCTCATAACCTTACAATAATCTCAAAATTAGTAATTGAATAATATTCGAACATCGTAGCTTGCTTTAGGCGCGATTAATAATAAATCATCGTGACTATGGGTACGGTTCCCGTGGCATGGTCATGATACGTAATCCTCAATTTGAGTGTGCGTTTCACGTGACTCGATCATAACTTCAAACAATAATAAATAAAATTAAATACGTTGTAGATTGCGGGTGCGTTTCACGTGACGCGATTTGCGATGTGTATAAACAATGAGTGTACGACAACGTAACTCGTCTCATATTAATTCCATAAAATTTTAAAATGCAGTAATGTAATAAAAGAGGTAAAAGGAATAAAAATGTACATATAGGTTTAAAACATGTATTAAATCAGATAACTAGGCCAATTATTAATAGTTGAGCGATCGTGCTAAAACCACGGAACTCGGGAGTGCCTCACACCTTCTCTCGGGTTAACAGAATTCCTTACCCGGTCTTCTGTGTTCGCAGACCATAAATAAGAGTCAATTTTCCTCGATTTGGGATTCTAAAATAAATCGGTGACTTGGGACACCATAAATTATTTCAAATGGCGACTCTGAATAAATAAATAATCCTATTTCGAATAATGTCACTTAAATTGGAAAAACTCCCTATCCCCTATCCCCTATCCCTGGGAAAAAGGAGGTGTGACAGGGTGCAGGTACCCGGTAGAATAATCAAGGTGCTCACAAGTTGCAACCACATTATACCAAAAAAAATCAGACGAACTGATTATGGATAATAAACATGATCCAAGCCCTTTGAAACCAGGCACTACAACTTAAGGCACGTTGGGTAATACGAGTTCCAAATTGCTATTACTTTGATATATTTCAGGTCATCTTTAGACAATTTTGGCTTTTATGAGTTAGGAATCACTTAGACCAGTTCAAGGATTTATTTATCATTCTCCAATGACAAACCAAAACCAGCATTTGCCCTCATAGTTCCAATTCTCTCTCTGAGTAACCAGCTAATTTAAGCACAACGGCACAGCAAGAGAATGAGGGCACTTATTGTGCAGACAGACAGTTGGAACTGGATGCTACACAAGCTTAAACTACAACAATTTGGATATTGGGATATATTGAACCCAAGACTAACTTCTGCAAGAGGATAGACATGGGGGGAGAAGGAAGGTTTGGAAAGAGCTAATGAACAAAGAAAAGCTCAAGAGATCCTTACTTCAAGCGATGGGCACCAAACTGGTCTGCAAACATTTGAAGCTCTGATACTGTGTCTAGATTGAACCCAGCAGCTGCTGCACGAGAAGAAGCTGAAGTTAAGTCCTGTCGAACTGCAGTAAGCCTCACATCAATAGCTCTCAGTAACTCCTTCCTGTGTAAACAGGCAGTAGTGAACATGAAATGAAGCAACGAACGCTACAAGCAAACCATGCATGAAGAAGCAAAAAGAGGCCATACTTTGTTGCATCAACTGCTACCATAACTCCAGATCCACCACTTCCTGGAAGAATTATAAAGTCGATAGTAATGTCAGAGAAAACCAACAGAGTGCCACAGAACTAGTGGGTTAAATACAGTAATTTAGAATGAAATTCAGTCTTGAATCTCAGATCTAATAGCCAAAATTAATAGCACGTGAATAATGGAACAACAAACTTGGTAAAGCATTTATCACACTCGAGTTTACAAAGACAGCTTATTAAGTAGTAATAACTAAAGAAACCAGGAAAACTTATCGAAATTAATGTTTATCAAATGTGTAAAGGCGTACATCGTCACCCAAAAAAGAGCCCAAAACTTCATGGTAATCTAGTATCTCCACAGAGGAACGTTCTTTAACCCATACATTATCCACAGTATAGTTCTCCAGGGATCCAACTATAAATAACCATATATGACATGACCATCAATCCTACACTTTATCTTATCCTCCAAAGTTAGACCATAATAAGAAGGAAAAGGAGAAGTATGAGATAATGCCAAGATTGCATACACTTACTAGTAAAAATTGTAGTCCAAATGACAAAACATAAGAGTGTTAAAAACAATGGAACAACAACAATCAATCAATCAAAAGAGAGAATGGGCAGAATGAAGGAGACAAAATTAGGGAAATGACAGCCTAATGAGAAGTCGACTCCTTTACATTGAAGAGTTATTGAAATAGAGAGTGAGATCAGCCCGAACAAAATAGAAGTCAATGTATAAGATTATATTGCCAATACCAAATAGTTTTGGATTGAGAAAAAGAAGCTTCTATATGTAGAAGAGTTACTTTGTGGTGTGAAATGTGGACTATCGCGTTATGCTAATGTTGCAGAAGCAAGGTACTGAACAAATGGTGAACATAAAGATAGTTCTTTTAGCATTCTTACCTGTGCTACTAAACTGATATCCTTCTCCCTGAAATAACGAAAAGAGAAGTTTATAATTTACTAATTATTTTAGTCACTTAATTGTATATGACAGTTTACAATGACAGAGTTCATTACCGGGGAATATATTCTTCTGGCAGCTTCAAGCTGAGACATTTCGACATCTAAGATATTGACAAGCTCCAAAACTTCTGGTGTGCTAACAAACCTCACAAACCTGGATTACATGTGACATCGATCACATCATTCGTCACTTTCCCAGTGTTTCCTGAAGAAGTTGAACAGGTAATTACCTTCCTAGAGTTCCCTTTGTGAACCATGTTTCAGAATTTTTGCGCCCTTTAACTTCAAGCTTGATAGACTGAACTGCCAATGCAGCTTGTTCTTCCGCAACTTTTAAATGGGTCACAAACGGCTTTAATAATCCTGATGCCAGTTTCTCCGTGTTTCCATCACTGGAAACAAACAATTCACATCTGTCCAATCAATTTAGAATAAATAAGAGAAATTAGGAAAATTCGTAAAATTTCGCCAGAAATGTAGAAAATGCATAGCTATAACTCACCGAGAGCGTTCTGGTGATAGCTGGAACACCGCATAATCAAGCAGCGTACTGGATTCCATCTTCCCTCCTTGACCAAAACAGTACAATCTTCAGATTGGCTTCTTTCATATATACCCTCGCCCCCTCTTAAGTTTCATGAAAAATCAACAAAAGGCGTGAGCAACATATAGAATCCCAAATATTTACAGAAGCAACTTTTAGAGTTCAAATAAACTTGAGAGCCAGAATGAGTATTGGATAATTTCATTAGCAAACAAAAAAGAAAGAACATATTATAACAACAACAACAACAAAAACAAACCCAGTGTAATCCCGCTAGTGGGGTCTGGGGAGGTTAGAGTGTATTCTTTTACAAGATGATAGATCTTCAAGCAAAATGAGCATGAAGAGTATAACTTTATTAAAGCAAGATTTGATATGGCACTTCTATAATATGAAATTCCTTCAGATCACGGTTATACATCAATAGCTCAACTATGCTTAAATCCCAAACTAGTGGGAGTTGGCTAGATATATGGATCCTCAATATCAATTTTCAAGCGCCAAATCCGGTTATAGGCAAAACAAATTTCAAATGAAAAATCCAATGTGAAATTTGGGACACATAAAACAAGTAAGAATGCAAAATAAGCTTGCAAAACTCAGAGTGAATTCCTCGAAAGTCTCGGATAAGAAAAGTTCACACAACTTTATTCATTGAGCAACAAAAAGCAATCAATGAGAATGAAATTAAATTAGCAAACTGATGAGCTTACTTGAACAAATGATGAAAAGTAAATACCCTAGTAATTAGGGGGACTAACAATTTTCAGAAATATGAAAGTGAGAATATTTTACACTATCAGGTCCTGAAAAGTATATCTAAGGTAAGCCTCCTTAAAATGTAGGATTTGTAATCTTGAAAATACATCAGGTAACCTGCTACAACAGGCAAAGGTGATCTGATGGTGTAAAAATTCCTTAAACTGGCTGTGTATATAAATCCAACTGTTTGAAATAAGAACTCAGCTTAATAATGTGAAGGCAGAGATCTTCAATTACAGTTTCAAGGTCATCCCAATTCACGTCATACCCGAACCAGCATTTTGTTCTTGCTTTTTTCGCTCTCTATTAGCTAGCATGAAAATAGCTTCCTCCTATTAGAGCCTTTGATTTTCTATCTGCTTAGATATAAAAACCCTAAATATTTAAAATAACCAAATCCAATGTGTAACACATTATAAGATAAATAGAGTAGTAAAATGCAAAATAAATTTCCAAAGTATCTGGAATTAAGTCCTCACAACTCTTAGATAAGCAAAATTCAAACAACTCATCTATTAAGCACCCAAAAATAAATGCAAGCAACGAGATTGACATCAAGTTACCAAAACAATGAACTTAAGCAACTGAAAGAACCCTAGCAATTAGGGTAAATAACAATTAATCGAAAAAAGAAACTACCAAAAAAGGTAGTGGAAATTAGAAAGTACCCTGCCAATGTGAAGGTAAAAATCTTCAATTTCTTAAATTTTAGTTTAATTCTGAACCAGCATTTTCGTTTTTTCTTTTGAAAAAAATAGCTCGTGTGTGACTTTATTATGGTGAAAATGGAGATACAGTAGAGAGAGAGAGAGAGAGAGAGAGAGAGAGAGAGAGAGAGAGAGA